CTTGATTGTGTATGTTGATGACATCGTTCTTACAGGTAGTGACAACCATGGCATCTCTCAGTTGAAACAACATCTCTGTCACCATTTTCAAACCAAAGATCTTGGCCAACTTAGATATTTCTTGGGTATTGAGGTGACACAGTCCAATGATGGTATTATTATATCTCAGAGGAAGTATGCCATGGATATTTTAGAGGAAACTGGGTTGATGAATTCAAAGTCTGTTGATACGCCCATGGATCCCAATACTAAACTTTTACCAAATCAGGGGGAGCTTATACCTGATCCTGAGCAGTATAGAAGATTGGTTGGAAAATTGAATTATCTTACGAGTTACTCGTTCGACATTTCCTTTGCGATCGGTGTGGTAAGCCAATTTCTTAATTCCCCATGTGAAGATCATTGGAATGCGATCATTCGTATCTTAAAGTATATTAAAGGATCTCCTGGAAAAAGATTGTTATATGATTCTAATAACCATACAAGAGTTGTTTGCTACTCGGATGTCGATTAGGCAGGATCTCCTACGGATAGAAGATCTACATCTGGATATTGTGTCTCCATTGGTGGTAACTTGGTCTCATGGAAAAGTAAGAAACAAAGTGTTGTGGCAAGATCTAGTACAGAAGCATAATATAGAGTTATGGCCTCAGCTGCTTGTGAACTTGTTTGGCTCAAGCAATTGCTTAGAGAGTTACAATTTGGAGATGTCACTCAAATGTCACTTGTGTGTGACAATCAGGCTGCTCTTCATATTAGTTTTAATCCTGTCTTTCATGAGAGGACCAAACACATTGAGATTGACTGTCATTTCATTCGAGAAAAGATTATGTCTAGAGACATCAAGACTGAGTTTGTTAACTCAAGTGATCAGTTAGCAGATATTTTTACTAAATCTTTACAGGATCCTAGAATTGATTATATTTGTAACAAGCTTGACACATACGATTTGTATGCTCACTAGTGCAAAAAGGGACTTTTACGTTAGGTATTTAGGGTTTTTTACGTCGTATTTAAGGCTGACGTTAAAACAGGAGACGTAAATTTATGTCGGACCCTTTAGCCCGACGTAAATTTACGTCAGTTATCAAGACCCGACGTAATTTTGCGTTGCATATACCATTAAACAGACGTAAAAACTTTTAGAAATTAAAAAAAAAAACAGCAAATTTACGTCGCATATGGTATATGCGACGTAACTTTGCTTGTTTTTTTAAATTGGGTTGATTACGTTTTACAACTAAAACCCGCAAATAACCAGACAGTCCAGAGATTCAATTTTCTTTAGCTAGTAAATTAAAAATATAATATTATATAATTCAAACTACATAATAAAACAATATAATACAAACATACAAACTAAAAAATCTATTACAAACTAAAAGTTAATACAAACTAAGCTACCTAAACTACATATTACACACAATATAATATGAACAAGAGCTTAAAAAATTATGTACTAGAATTGTTGAACAAAAAATTTTGCCCATTGTTCTCTAATTTGTGTAATATCAGATTCTGGTAATGGAGATGGATCTTGAAATACCTGAAACATTAATTTGACTCTTGTAAACGTGCAACATGAATAAAGTTAAATAAACCTAACTAATGTTAAAAGCAATTACCTCCGTCCAAGAATCAATTATACCCGCACAAACTATGGCTCTCATCCAATACATAACATAGTAACCACATTCAAACGAGTCTGTTTGCTTATTACACTGAAATGATGAAAAAAACATAATGTTATTTTCAAAATTTAAATACAAACAATAATTATGGTATTCACTTATATAAATAAGTTTCTAACCTTAGGATAAATGAACTGCAAAGTCTTTGTTCTAGGTTTTCCACTTAGAACATTAGTTCCAGACACGATTCTAAGTGAAAAAAAGTCATATATTATTCAATATGTATTTACAATTTAAAAACATAATTAATGAATAAAAGATAAAGTTACCCTTGTAATAAGTTTTTCATTTCTTGACTCGATTTCTGATGCAATGAACAAAACCACACGACAGTGTAATCCCGGGGTATGATTACAATTAACTGCCAATGGGAGCTACATTGTATGACATAAAAATTAGTTACAAAAATATAAATTAAAATACAAATTAAAATACTAACCCTTCAATGTATGGAGCCAAATATATATGTCTTCAATTGAATATAACTTGTGTCTTCTTGACATAAAGGACACGCTAAATGACCTTTCACACTATAACCGCTCAAATTACCATATGCTGGAAAATCATTTATAGTACAAAATAACATTGCACGCAACCTGAAATTTACTTCGTGATATGAATCAAATACATCCACTCCTGTTTCCCACAACATCTTCAAATCATCAATTAAAGGACTAAGATATACATCTATGTCATTTCCTGGTTGTCGAGGTCCTGAAATCATCATAGATAACATCATATATTTTCTCTTCATGCATAACCAAGGAGGCAAATTGTAAATGATCAACAAAACTGGCCATGAACTATGTTTACTACTTAAATTTCCATAAGGATTCATCCCATCTGTAGCTAATCCAATTCTCAAGTTTTTTGGCTCTGCACCAAATTCTGGAAAGGTTTCATCAATCCTTTTCCATTGTGGAGAATTAGCTGGATGTCGAAGAAGATTGTCACATTTTCTACCATTTGCATGCCATGTCAAGTTTCTTGCATCTTCTTTTATGGCAAATAATCTTTTAAACCTAGGTATAATTGGCAAATACCATAACACCTTAGCAGGGGGACCATCTGGTTCTTCCTCACCACTACTTTCCTCAACTTTGTTTTTGAACCTCGACAAACCACATGTCGGACACATCTTTAATTTAGCAAAATCGTTTCTGTACAATATACAATCATTAGGACATGCATGTATCTTCTTGTACTCTAAACCCATTGGACATAATATTTTCTTTGCCTCATAGTTACGAATAGGTAATGTATTATCTTCAGGAAGCATCTTCTTCAACAACTCCAATAATTCGGTGAAACTTTTATCAGTCCATCCATTTCTTGCTTTTAAAGTAAACAATTTTAAAGTTGCTGATAATCTTGTAAAACTACATCCTATGTACAATTGTTGCGCAAAATCAGATTTCAAAGAATCATATAGATGTGCTTTCATAAAATTTTCTTCACCAATATCACATATCATATCCTCAAGATTATCATCCATCCTTTCATCAAAATTGTATGTAGTTGACATAGTTGGGATGTCTAATATTTCTCCATGCCATGTCCATATTGTATAACTCTTAATAATACCATAAACAAACAAGTGATCACGTATATCCTCAAGTTTATGACGAATTTGATTCAAACAACGAACACATGGACAATAATATGTCCATTTCATAGCTTTTCCATTTTCACTAGCAAATTTCAAAAATTCCTCAACTCCCTTTTCGTACTCTTCACTAATACGACGTGCATTCATCCAACTTCGATTCATATTATGTTATAAAGTTTCGTCACTCCTAGAGATTTAAAAATTATATGTAAAAAGAAATTAATATACAAACAACAAAACACGTTCCAACAACAATGGAGTGTGTAAACCGAATGCACTCAAACAAATAAACAAATAATTACATTCCAATAACAATCCAGTGGAGACATTCATACTATAACGTGATTGAGATCCCCAAAAACAATCACGGATTCAATTTAAATATATAGCAATGGCATAGAACACTAACCTCGAGTGTAGACGAAAAATGATTTCAAACTCGAATCCAATCGGGGAGAAATATCAAGTTCGTAAAATGACACACAATGTTGATGTTTTCCAGTGTCAAACTGATCGAAAATGGTGTGCAGAGGTAGCTGTTGTCGTCGTTCTCGTCATCGTTCTCAAAAACCCTGGTTGCGCGAGAGGAGGGAGTGGGTCTGGGGGGAAATAAAAGGGACTTTTTACGTCGTGTGCTGGGGTGCGCGACGTAAAAGTTTTGTCTCTTAATTACAAAATTGTCACCGCGTTTTATTTACGTCGTATATTTTTACATGCGACGACAATTGGGTGACGTAGAAGCCCTTTTTTGCACTAGTGGCTCCAGCTTGAAGGGGAATGTTAGATATTGTTTAGATATTATTTAATATTGTTAAGATATTGTTAGATATTAACCATAATATCAAACAATATCTTCTGTTTATTCTGTTACTTTCAGTTACTCTTTTAGTTGTATCTCTCTACTATAAATAGACTACCCTACGTGTGATTTATACACGGGAAATTAATCTCAAACTCTATTTCTTCTATATTCTTCTATATTCAAGTGAATCTTTATCCTTCAATCTGGTCATTTCCCCCATAAAGGTCTTGAAATTCTATGCAATATTCGGCTGAAGTCTACCTTACGTGTCTGTCCATCCCAATTTCAATAAAACATTAAACACTTTTTCCATAACTTTTTTGTGTTATGCAGTGATGAATAAAATTCGTCAAAGTTTTGTTCATTTTTTCATTTAAAAATAAAAAAATGGCATGAATTACTTAATAAATATAAATTTCATATATCTCCTTACCGTGCTTTACTAGATTTTTCTCAAGTATGCAATCGACAAATACAGTCCTTTATATATATATATATATATATATATATATATATATATATATATATATATATTGACACTTAGAACCAATACAACCAGTTGCTTATCTAAACTTAAAAGTGAATTTTAAAACGAGATCTTTTAAATTATGAATAATTTGTAAAATTATAATTAAAATTTATGAATCTCAATATTTTAAAATTTAACTTAAAGAAATAGTATTCTTAAAAAGACCAAAAGAGGTAACGATAGACTTTTATTTTTTGAAGACAAAGCATTGCACCAGGGTGACACAATTCAAAATTAAAAACTGTTTAAGTCAAACACAATAAGAAGATTTACAAAACATTGTGTTAAGATAATATTTATCGCAACACTTTGTCTTGATCACACAAAACATGGGAAATTAACACGCAAGAAATCCCAAATGGAAAGCAACTAGCTATTAATGCCCAATATGTGATCAAAGAGGCTCTCTAGTTCCTTCAGATAATCCTCAAAAATTTCACTCTCCTGGTTATCATTATCAAGCAAATATGTGGCCTTAGTAATTGCAGAATTGATCTTATTGCTTTCTCGTGAGGAAAGCTTTGAGCTGGTATACTTATTCTTCAAAGCATTCTTCATTTTGTAAATGTAATCATCCAGAGAATTCATTGCCTTAGCCTTCCGAAGGAACTTCCTATCTTCGGCCTGATAAATTTCAGCTTCTTCAATCGATCTTCTAATTTCTTCAGCTGACAGACTCTCTCTGTTGTTGGTTATGGTAATCTGGTTCTTATTGCCCGTGGTTTTATCCTCAGCAGAGACAGATAGAGTGCCATTTTCATCAACGGCAAAGCACACATAAACAGGATAGCCACAAGGAGCTAGAGGAAAGCCGGTAAGACTAAAAAACCCCAGCAAATTGTTGTCACTGGATCTTGTTCTCTCACCCTCATAAACCTTAATCAAGATAGAGGATTGATCATCGTAAACTGTTTCATACTCTTCTGTCCTCTTTACAGGAATTCTTGTATTCCTAGGAATCATTACACTCATGATATCTCCCGTCGTATATAAACCAAGTGAAAGGGGTGTTACATCCAACAACACCAAGTCAGGAATATTCTTAATGCCTTCACACAACAAAGCAGCTTGCACAGCTGCACCGTAAGCAACAGCTTCATCAGGGTTGATGCTCTTGCACAGATCCTTTCCCTTGAAGAATTCCTGCAATAGTTGCTGCACTTTAGGAATCCTAGAAGAGCCACCGACAAGAACAACATCATGCACACTGTTCTTATCCATCTTAGCATCATTAAGACACCTATCTACAGTCTCCATACACTCTTGAAAGAGTTCTATATTGATTTCATCAAACCTTGCCCGAGTGATTGAAGAACAGAAGTCAATGCCCTGAAATAAAGCATCTATCTCAATGCTGGTAGTCAGTGTGGACGAGAGAGTCCTTTTTGCCCTCTCGCATGCACTTCTCAGCCTCCTTAGAGCTCTTGCATTGCCACGAATGTCCACTTTGTATTTCCTTTCGATCTGCTCCACAAAGTAGTCCACCATTCGGTTATCAATGTCCTCTCCCCCGAGGTGAGTGTTTCCTGCAGTAGCCTTTACTTGGAAGACCTTATCCTTTATTGTGAGGATAGACACGTCAAAGGTACCACCTCCAAGGTCAAATATGAAAATATTTCGCTCTCCAACACAATTGGTTCTCTTGTCAAGACCATATGCAATAGCTGCAGCTGTGGGTTCATTGATTATCCGCATAACATTGAGCCCAGCAATGGTTCCAGCATCTACTGTAGCTTTACGCTGAGAGTCATTGAAATGAGCAGGCACAGTAACCACTGCATTCCTCACAGGTGTTTCCAAATAGGTCTCTGCAATCTCCTTCATCTTTGATAGGACCATAGATGATATTTCTTCTGCTGAAAGGTGCTTTTTCTGACCCTTGTAGCTAACTTCAACCATGGGTTTGTCATTATTACCGGAAACGACAGTGAATGGCCACAACATTATATCTTTTTCAACAATGGGATCACTATATTTCCTACCAATTAATCTTTTAGTATCTGCAGAAGTTATAAAAGTTCTGATCATTAGTCTATCCTTCCAAAAGAAGTACAAAGAAATCATAGATCAGATATTTAAAGGAAGGCCATGATAAAACAGAGAACTTACCAAACACAGTGTTCTCTGGATTGGTGGCAGCCTGGTTTTTAGCTGCATCACCAATCAATCTTTGTTTGTCTGTGAAAGCAATAAAAGAAGGAGTGGTGTTGTTCCCTTGGTCGTTGTGGATGATCTCCACTCTGCAGTGCTGTTCCTGCCATACTGCAACACACGAGTAAGTTGTCCCAAGGTCGATTCCCACTGCACATCCCTCAAATTTTCTGGCCATGATCTTGCAAGTAAATGAAATAACAGATAATTCTGAAGTCAGAAATGGGAAGAGATACAGCTCAACACAGTCAATTAAATCACTCTGGTTACGAGTAACTTTTAATCCTAAGTATTAGAAATTGATTGACATTAGTTATGATATGTGTAAGTCTTTATAAATGATTAACTCCACTCCTATCATTTATCAAAAGTGCAAATATGTAACAGTACAATTCATATAAAAAAACTTTCATACAAATATCATAAGATGAGTGTAATAGTTAATGCAGTTCACATCTACTTTATAAGATGAACCACTTGCGTTTGTTTATCAGAAGCCAGAAGCCAGAAGCCAGGAATCATCTCCCATAAATAGAGCCCTCCTAATTTAAACAAACTTTGAGTGATTGTATTCATATGTTTATATAAAAATAAAAACAAGTATGCTACTAACAGAACAAATTAGTCACCAATTAATTCAGTCATTAAAATTATAAAAATAACAATTACTATAGTAATAATCCCGACATCTATCAATCAATTTAGCAGGTGACGTTGTGGAGCAAATTAACTGATTTGCATACATAAAGGTGAAGGACTAAAATACCAGAAGATTGTCCACTTCAGGACTAAGATTATGATGAGGGACTAGACCAGAACTTCAAAGCTTTGTTGGCTATCTTGGGCAAAGATCATTCATAATTGGAGTATGACACTGAAGAAGTATTAGGTATGGATAGCTTAACATACATAAAGCAGAGATTCACCTTGAATCAATAGCTTGGGCGTCTAATAAACCCGATAAGCACTCTGAACCATCTACAAAATAATTGTCCTAACCCTGTTTATCTACCCAAGAGAGGTTTAGTCAAGTCAAGCACAATATAGTAAACAATCCAACTGAAACAATATTCTTCCATGAAAGATTAATAATGATAAATTTAATACTTATGATCAGCTACCAACTACAATTAACAACACTTTTTTATTTTGAAATTGACCTACTTATGATATGGTCATTCCCTTTTATATTTATTAAAGGAGTTTCTGCAGAGAAATAATAATTGAGGGAGAGAATAAAGTAACACTTATATTTATGGTGCATGTTTATTTCACCTCACATTTATAAATTAAATTAGGCCAATTGTATGCATTCTTGTAGCATTTGAACAGTGTTTTCATGCATTACTGTTATATTTAACTTGTCGTGTAGTTTCTTTATTTTTGTTGAGAAATAGGTACATTTAGAACAAATTTTGTGAGGCTTGCATGATTGACGTCATTCATAAGTTTGCAGTAGAATTTTTTGTTGTAAAAAAAAACAAAAAAGAAAGAAAGAAATGATTGGACATCTGCCCCTTTTGCTATTGGGCTTGGCTGAAAAGGAAAAAGAAAGGAGTAGCTAGAAGAAAGAAAAAGGGTTGACGGGGAAAGAAGTAGGGAATTAAAAACAGAGAGAATTACGTTGTGTGAAGGGAGGCAAGAAAGACAGCAGAGGAGGAACAATTTTTTTGGGTTTTAATTTCTTTATGGAAGATAAAACTTTTTTTTTTGTTAGAGGGTTGATGTAGTATTCTCCAAGACAGATTGTAAACCTATTTAATTTGATGCAATGTAATTTTATTTACTCTAGTAACTTATTTATGATTTTTTATGTTCAATTTTTAAGCAGTTATATTTGGAAAAATTGATATTGTCTATGTTGTTAGATGAGATAAGTTTGGTTTTGTTTAATTGAAAAATTACGCAAACTTAACTAGTTATTGTGGATGAGATTATTAATTATTCAAGTTTCAGTGAATTTTTCTTATTCCAAGGAATTGGGAAATTAAAAGTTCAATGAATAATTTTGTTTAGCTAAGGGATTAGGAAGTAAATAACACTTTTAATTCCAGTGGGTAAATTTAATTCTTGCATCAATTAAATAGGCTAAAAATTTGTAAGAAGGAATATGAAATCAATCCTCAAACATTTATTTTATTGCAAAGAATTTCTGTTGTCATTTTTTTGCTCTTTGATTATTCAAACTTTGATTACTCAAACTTAGGTAAAATTAATGATTTAGTATTCAGCAAATATTCAATTCCAGAGGACGATAATGTGGTTACTTTTGTAATAATTGGTCTGCTTACCAAAGAATACATCAATTTCCTAGAGTCGTTACCGGGGATTGAAAATTTTTGTTGATCTTAGAAAGTTATTTTTTTTACTTGAGATTTGAGCTACAGTTTTTTCTACTGTTCCAGAAAAAAAAAATTATCCTTCTTCTTTCTTTGCTTCTATGACTTTAACACTATTTATGCGAGGTACTATAGCACCAAAAAATTTACTGTTTGATCCAGAAATTGAACGTACTGCCATAAGAAATAGAGGAAGTGCACGAAAAAGAAAAAAAAAAGAAAGGAGAAGAGCACAAGACGAAGCAAATCACAATTCATACACTACAGCCATGGATCAGCCCAAGAGAACACTAAGGGACTACTCCATGCTAGATCCAAACAGTTACAAGGGGAGTATTGTTAGACCCTCTATACAAGCAAATAATTTTGAAATTAAATCTTCTCTGTTACAAGTCATATAGCAAAATCAGTTTGGAGGTGTACCTTCGGAGGATCCAAATTCTCACCTAGAGAATTTTTTGGCTATCTGTGACACGTTGAAAATTAACGAGCCACTGATGATGTAGTCTACTTAAGGCTTTTTCCCTTTTCATTATGGGACAAAGCCAAAGGCTGGCTTCAATCACAACCTCAAGGAAGAATCACTACTTGGGATGATTTGGCTACCAAATTTGTGAACAAATACTTTCCTCCAGCAAAGTCAGCGAGAATGAGGAATGAGATCACCGGCTTTATGCAACAGGACTCTGAATCTTTGTATGAGGCATGGGAGAGGTTCAAGGAGTTGACAAGAAGATGCCCTCATCATGCACTACCAGATTGGTTGCAGGTACAAATTTTTACTATGTCCTTTCTCCTACCTTCAAAGCAATGTTGGATGCTGCCAGTGGAGGATCATTCAACCTAAAAACACCAGAGGAAGCCTTAGAGACCCTGGAATTAATGGCAAATAATACAGTACACATGTAGTTTGATCGTCAAAATAGGAAAGTTGGAATGCTGGAAGTTAGAACGTTGGATGCCATGTTAGCTCAAAATAAGATACTAACCCAACAAATCACAGACATGACTCAACAGTTACAGAGTATGCAGGTCAAAGTTGTTAACACACCACCTTTGGTATGTGATTTTTGTGGATGGATGCATCAAAATGGTAACTGTCAAATTAATTAACAAGAAGTACATGCAAATGTTGTACAGTAGCAGCAACAACACAGTCAGTTCAACAATTATAATTCAAATTAGAGAAATCAGCCAAACAGGCAATGGAGTGATCTAGCCCCGCCTGGACAGCCAAGAATGAAAGAATTAATGGTTGAGTTCAAGAGGGGGGTGAATTGAACTTTAAAACTTTTTCGCAAAACTTACTTTCTTTTGGAAGAATGAGTTATCTTTATTCAATCTTTGCAAAGGTAGTTTGGTTTAAACACAGCAAGTTTATAGACAGAAAATAAAAGAGATGAAAGAAGAAATTTAACACACAAATTTATACTGGTTCACTCTAATCTAGAGCTACATCCAGTTCTTGACAAACCTGCCAAGTTCCACTAATTCCAAGTGAAAATTACAACCAGTAAATACTCACCAATCTACCCCAAGAACTATCTTGCAAACCCACAAGATAGAATCTTGAAAACCACCCAGTAACCAAATCCAGTTACTGTACCAAGTGCAGATCACAATCCAACCTGCACAATCACACTTTTACAAAAGAGTATGGAAAGAAAAAACCTGGACTTGAAGTTCTAATTGTCCGGAACAAATTCTAACAACACTTTCTCTCTTTGATTGACCACAATTCTGATCACAGCACCTTATGATATGAAAAGATTCTTGAATGCAGAGAAAGTCACGTATGAAAGTTTCACAGATTGATTTCACAAGTTTTCTCAAGTAGTGTGTTGTTTTTCAAAAGATAGATCAATTCTGTATATATAGAGTAAAACATAGAATCAGAATGTTTCATCTGTCAAAAACTGTTTCAGAGAGTTACAAGATCGTTTAGTTTGAAGTATAACAGTTTAGAAGAGACTCTGATCGATTAGAACTGAAGTATGATCGATCAGACCGAGTTATGATCGATCAGAATGAAACTATGATCGATCAGAATACATTTCAATCGATTAAAACATCGATTCAATCGATTGATTTCATTTAAAGCTCCATTCAATCGATTGATTCGAGTTTTTAATGGATTGAAACAGCTTTATGAAAAATGACAGTTCTCTGTTTCAATCGATTGAAAATTATTTCAATAGATTTAAAACCTGCAAACACTTAGTTAATAAAATAGTCACTCTGTTTTAACAGATTAAAAATTATTTCAACAGATTGATTTTCCGAAAAACTCTTAGACTCGAAAAAATAGTCTTTCTCGTTTCAACATGATTAAATTTCATTTCAACAGATTGATTTTCTCGAAAAACTCTTAGACTCGAAAAAATAGTCTTTCCGTTTCAACAGATTAAAATTCATTTCAACAGATTGAAAATGCGAATCTTTGATATTGAAAAATTCATTGAGTTATTTTAACTTGTTGATTCCGCGAATCAATCAATTGAAAATACGACTAAGTATGACCACTTATTATGTTGAGTGATTTTAATAGATTGAAAATCCTTTTCAACAGATTGAAAAACTTAGTTTGTTCTTTTAATACTTGAATGTGAGTTTTTCATGCAGAAAATGATTTTCAATGAGATGCAATGTTTTAAGGTGCTTATCACAAAATATAATGGACTATCAAGAGATTAAGTGCTTTAACTAAAAACCTAATCATCTACACACCCACAACCTAAGCTATATCTATGTCTTCATCAAATCCACCAAGTGTTTCAATCTCCCCTATTTGATGGAGACAAATAACCACTGCACCTGCATAAAAAAACAACAGCACTGT